TCAAAATAACCCCTAAGTGCCCCCTCCCCCAAATCACCCACCTGAATAACAGCCCATTATATAAGTAAACTTAATTTACCCCTGCTGACATAGGTCTTATAAAGATTGATCAATCTATTAACTATAATAATATTAATATTTAAATGTGACATATATAGGAAATGAAGTGAGAAAGATGAACAATGGAGTAAGAATTCTAAATATTTACTGTGTGTTCAACTCTGAATATAGATCATTATTCTACAAGTAGGCCAGATAAATTATTCATTCTTTCAACAATAATAATGTTTTACTAAAACAGTTCCAACTAGCTAGGGATTTTTAGTTATATTCTACATACAGTCTACATTCTAAATAAGCAGGCCTATAATTTTCTGCCATCTTTTTACACGGAATGTATTTTTTTTTTTTTATTAAAAAACAAATTTATTTTGGTCATCAGATATAATTTATTGTGTTAAGTTAAAATCTTTTCCCTGTTTTTTTTTGTTTTTTACTAGTTGAAGTTCATATTAGCTTGACATTGTGAAGAAGGTTTGATTTATAACATAACAATGTTAATAAACTAAAAAAACAACCTAAAGTTACCACAGAACTAGAGAGTATTTTGTCCCTACCCTTCAACTCATCTCAATTATCAGGACAACACGCAACAATCTAAACACCTTATTTTTATGGAATCAGAACAACTCAGACCAAAACAAACTCAGCCCAATGCAAACTTGGCCCTATTTTTGAATCAAAAATATTTCACGACAAACTTTGCCCATGTTTCATAACAAACTCGGCCCACTGTTATTTTGACTCGGAGTGGGCCGAGTTTGTTTTGGTCCAAATTGTCTTGTATTCATTTTGATGACTGGGGACATATTTTTCATTTTACACAAACATTTTCTCTTGACTAACTTGAAATCAAATATAAAACAAACTCTAACTCGGATATCATCCTCTGTGCTGACTACTGTCATCTAATTTACATAAATTTACATATCATTTACATACAATTTGCATAATTAAACAAAACACAATGGGTCTTGATTGTTTAGATAAAAGAATTAATTAGTATTGTAGTGATTTTGACAATGACATTGTTTCATCAGGATCTGAAAGATGGTAGTCATATTGTAAACTGACAAATATCTTATTTTGCACCTAGCAAAGGGATTGTAAAGAGGTTTTCTAAATTATCAGGGACACTAAAAGCATCAATTTGCACCATTACAATTCTCAGTCAGACGTCTTTGGTTCCTGCAATTCCACTAAAACTAAATATTTGATGAAGTCACTAATTGTAAAATATGCTTGTATCATATAAGTACTTCACAATTAGTCACTTCATAAAACACTTAGTTCTAGGTGAATTGCAGAAACCACAGAGGTTTGATTAAAAATTGGAATGGTTCAAATTGATGCTATCAGTGTCCGTGATACACATAAAAAATTAGAAAAACTCTTTACAATCCCTTAAAACTTTTATATATTTTTACAAGAATTATTTTATTTCATATCCAACCAATGTACCTAGTTACTGTAAGCAAATTAGGAACTCAAGTCTTTCTGAATCCCCAACGGTGATTTCTAGACTCTGTCAAAAGTCATAAAGTCTTTACTGTGAATGGCTTTATCCTCACCGCCATGTAACATCATATGACAAAATTCTTGATACACGTCAAATTACTTAGGAAATTTTTTTTTTTTTTCTAAACAGACACCTGTCAGACATTTCCAGTAAAAAGAGTTCTAAGATGAAAAATTCAACAAGACATACCTTGACCGAGGTGGAATGGCAGGAGGATGAACCCCTCCCTCACTTCCTATATTCCAATGTGACATGAATAGATATTAATATCCTTTAACAGGTGCTTTTATAATACCCACTTCACTGGTGTATATCAAACTTATTGCCTACTTTTTACTGTGGTATATGAGACTTAATAACACACTCCTAACAATATACTGTATAAATATCAACCAATCAAAGAACAGTATAGTGATTCATCAAATAGCATTCTGGGATTACATAATGTAAACATTGGCACATGGCGAGCTAGTCTAGATTAGTCCAGTATTGTTTATTATTGTATATAATAGTCTAGGTTAACTAGGTCTGTGTAGGTGTATAAGTATGGTATAATGTTATATCATTTTAAGATTAACTGGATCAGTTCTCAGTTTTATTATTTACACTTCACTAACAGTCTAAATAACTTCAAAATGTAGGAAATGTATTATTTCTTCATGTATTGACCCACTTCTAAATTTCTATTTCGACCGGTATCCATAACAGTAAGACATACAAACACTTAAACAACCTAGACCAGTGCTAACAGCCCCGTCACCAGGAATGAATTGGTGCTGGGGCTCAGATTTTGAATTAAAGAAGAATTAAAGAAACAGAAAACTTATATCTGACAATTTTGAGGTGCTAAAAACGTATCAAATTCTATATATTTAAAGACACTGTAAATGAATCAATCTCTGCTGAACTGAAGAAGGATTTGCTGGGGCTTAATTCTCACTTGCTGGGGTCCAGCCTCCACAGACCCCACCCTAACAGTGGGGCTGGTGCTTACATTGTTATACATCTCAATCAGCGTTTAATTATTGAAAATTTTAAAAAAGAAATTGATAAAGATATGATACTGCAATGCTTTGTGCAGGTGTTATCAATCTGCAGGCAATTTGGAAATTTGCGGAGTAAAGATGAAAACCCTGGGTTTATTGACTTGACAGATAAGCATAAGCTCCAACTTGTGGGAAATATCAATGTCAAGAGGTTGGACCATAAACCAGGTGAAAGGATCAATTTGAACTGATTAATGAAGATCCTGGTTGAGCAATCATAGCCCTGACTCAGCCTGGTACAAACTGACCAACCTATCCTACTGACCAGCCTATCTTGTAGTAGCCTACACAAGAAATGTACCTATTAACTATCTACTAACTAATTTAGATGTCATCGTTAATTACTATATACTACTAACTGTTATCATAACAATATTAATATATACATCATGATTTCATGTTTATATTTACAGATAATATTTAAACAACGTCATTTATTAATATTACAAACTGAATCATTTACAGTCGTTAAAAATGAATAATTAAACCAATATACAGTGCTGTGATTTACTATAGTGAATTTGAATAATCATTATAAGGACAAGCTGTAAATGGGTATAGATAATCTGGGAAAGATCTATGCTCAGGGTACCAGAACAGTTGGCAGACATGATCCTTCTGAATCCATGAACCAGGATCACTGGAAAATTTTGTTGGTATTCTTGTAAAATCATTGCTAAAGATTTGATCAAGTACAAATTTGTAAAGAGAATTTCAGAGAAGCTAAGTTATCATCTTTGTTTATTATGGATATTATTTCAGAATTTTAATTTCTGTCAACCACAGCTATTGATCCTAACAAGTGGAATAACTTAAGTTGATCGAGTTCAGGATGGAAAGAAAACCATAAATCAACCTTTAACCTTTAACCTTCCACCCACTGTGGTTTAATGAATTACCCAGTATCTTGTACTAAGGCAGGAAAAACAGAGGCTATTGTTTTGATATCTTCATTTCCTTTACTTCCGACAACTCTATTGACAGGAGTGTCGAACTTGTACAGAAGATTCTCAATTCTTAGAAAATATCTTTTTAATAACTAATTAGTATTTTTAATTCTGAATATACAACTGTAAAATTTATTTATAGGTGAAAAAGACTACATCAAAAAAGTCGCATTGGAATTCAAGCTTATCAAAACATCAGATCATGGATGTTAATTGGAGTCACCCACAGAAAATACACAAAACAAAACATTGGGATACACATGAAATGAAGTGATCTAGTTATGGGTTAAAATGGAAAAAGAAATCAGTCTTACCTTGTTGACGATTCTCTCTGTCTGTCAAATGAGGAATCTGGAAGGGGCACCTGCAAAAAAACAAACAAGTTTTAAAAAGGTAATCAAATCCATACAAAATCTAAACCTTTAATCTAAGTCTAAGTTGAATGTCACTAGGGAATAGACAAATTAATAGAGGTGGATCAAATTCAGACAGAAATCAATAAAAATTAACAAGGGACAATCCAAGCAGAAATACACAAATACTTGGGGTTCAATCCTGGAATAAGTTGAGATAATACCTTCAGATTTTTCAACACAATTTCCTTAAGAGTAAGGTAAGAGGGGCTGACATGGAAAAGGCGTCTAGTGCCGAAGGCTGTGCATATTAATGATCCCTTGACAGTTGGAAATCGAAAAAAGAGTAGACTAATGCAGCTGTCCTTTTAGATCAATTTTACACAAAAATGAAAATCAAATTGTCATTTAAAAAAAAAAATCTACAGACAGACAGCATGTAAGAAAAATAGCAATGTTGTCTTTGACTAATGTATAACAGGCATTGTATTCAATAAAAACTCTTTATCAAAGAAAATAAATTTGAACAATCAAAAAGTCAAATCTAAAATTTCAAATTACCCATTTTTTAACAATTAAATATCTGGAAAAATCCAAAATGGTGACTGACTGCATGATAATCCTATGTTTAAAATTTCACAATGTTTTGTTACGAATTAAACATGGATGACTCAATTCCTCTAGACAATTAAAATCTCTTGTCTTTCTTTCTAATAGTGTCCCCAGACAGCTGGCTGACTAAATTGATCATTATGTTTATAAGAGTTATGGCCCTTTACTTGTTTACTGAATGGTCTCATCTAACCTATATCAAGATGGACTTCATTCTGTTTTTATTTACATTGCAAAGATTTTTTCTCTGTTTTTAGAGGTAAAATTCTATAATATGAGAAGCCAGGGAAATCATCTTATGTGATTTGGGAAATGAAAGTAAAATAAAGTTTGCATTTTTTATTATCACTGGATACTGGTTAAGATATCATGGCTAATTATAGATTTTGTTTGTTTTTTAAGAATATTGAAGGGGAAGTCAATTCAAAAATAATTTCCCAAAATAAATCTGAAGAAAAAAATATCAGCTTACCTCTAAATCATCTGTAGGTTTTTCCGTCAGTGAACTTCGTGGTAAGGTTGGTGAAAATACGTTAATATCTTCGTATGTATTTTCTGAACACAAAGACGAACGATTTGACCCATAACTTAACACACCCTGTGATCTCATTTTACTCCATTCCGTTTCTTTCCTTGGTCGATTCATTTCCATATAATCCTGGGAATTCCGAGATGAAGAAGAGGATCCAGATCGACGGAAACTGTCAGTACGCTGTGTCCGATTGGCCAGATTTTCCGAAGTTTTCGAGATGAGGTCTTGAACAGATTGTGTAGGAGACATAAGATCTTTAGGATCTCCCGTGGGGGTGGTTGCTTCTTGACTTCCAGATGAATTCATTCGTTTTCCCGTTTTTATTTCCATAAAATTTAGCACTGCTTGTTGCTGGATTTTCTTCAGGTCCGATTCGGAATTACGTTTCTGGATGTCAAGAGTTAGATTGGATCGAGATGCTGGCAATAATGTATCAGTCTGTGTTGCCAGATTAGGAGTAGATTCTCTTGTCTTTTCTGGTTGATCAACAAGGGAATTGGGAACATATTTATGGATCTGTTCAGATGATGACCTTTTCATTCCAGATTTTCTTTGAGTTTCATATTCTCCTGAAAATAATTCTCTCTTTGTCTTGTCAGAAGTTTTGGAGCCGTCTTCTTTACCACTTGATGACCTTGATCTTTGACCTTCTGAATCAATGAAAACATCATTCTCTTCTTGGATCTGATCCAATATTTTAGATTCAGAAGATCCACGACTTAAACGAGGCATTGGAGCAACGTAATTTTCTCCAGATCTACGTAGATTTTGAGCTTCATTGACTGCTTTCAGAGTAGCTGCTGCTCCACGCAGGACTCTTTCTGTCTCATCATAAATTCCATATGCTTTTTTCATGGATGGTTTACGACCGAGATTCATATTCAAATTCTTGTCCTTCGAATCTGATTTCGGGGATTTCAGTTCAGTTTCAGGAGGCAGTGGAGACCGAGTTTCACTGAAAACTGAATCAGGAATGGATTCATGACGGTCGTGACTGATGTCGTGTCGATCGTGAACGTTGTCATGACGATCATGACTTATGTCATGTAGCCGTGACTGTGAGGTGTCACTACTACTGTAATATGTGCTTCCAGAAGATCGGCTGTCAGGAGAACTCTTCGGTTGGGAAGGGGTAGAAGCTTCAGAGCTCCGTCTTGGTCTACGATAATCTGATGTTGGGGAGCTGACCGTTCTGGCATGGTTGACGAGGGATGATGAATTGTATCGTGTTTCATTTAAAGGTCTTGGTCTGTGAGACAGCATACCAGGGTCAAGACTGCGTCTGCCTTTGGCAATGCTGCTCCGACTACTGGTCGATTCTGAAATCACTGAATAAATATCTTGACGAGAATCAGACAGACTTGATCGTGATCCGAAATCATCACGACCAAACGGTCCAGCACTTTCTGAGGCATGGATTATAACACTGCTGTAGGATTCAGCTTCCTTCATTCCAGGCTGCATAGACTCAGAACTCCTCAACAACTCATTAGGGGAAATAACTCTCTTGTCATAATTCCCTGGCATACGTCCTTTATAAAACTCTTTAGAGAGTTCACGAAGAATAGGTGCCTGACTAGCAGTGTATTCCGAATAATGTGGAATGTTGTTAGAAGTATTATCATCTTCAGCAATATCAGAGGAATAACGTTCATGGATGCTCTTCAAGTTACTGATATCAGCGTAGTTTGCTTGAAGAGCCGAAAAGTCAGCGTAATTTCCTGAATGTTTAGCACTATGGTTATCACTTTCATGTCTGGTTGTTAGAGAATTAATATCACTGTAATTAGATCTCTTCTCCTTTTGATTGTAGTCTCGTTTATCAGGTCTTACATTATTTGGACTGATTTTTTCGCTGAACACATTTTTCTCTGTTGATGTCGGTGAAGTTTGAGCTGCATTATCACTGACTGTTTTACGAGGCATCGGTTTAGGAATGGTAATTTGCATATGGGGATTACTGGGTGGTGATTGGTCAGTTTGCGTACTTGTATTATAATAAGGCGTCTGCTTCACGATGTACGCTTTAGTTGTAGATTTCAGCTGAGACGAGGGGCTGGGCTCTACATTTCGGGGTCGTGAATTCCCGTTAGATTTACTGTCTTTTGGACTATGTTGTGGACTAGTGCAAGAATCAACCATTAATTTCTCTGGCTTGGAATCTCTAAAAGGGGGTTGTCCCCCTTTAACATCGATTGGACTGCTCATTGAGCCGATTGTGTTTTGAACACTGTAATTGAGTTTATTGCGAGTTGGGTCACGAGTTGGGTCACGAACTTGGGTCGTGAAGGATGTAGGTCGGGTCACTGATTTATTAATAACTGTATTCTCGTCAAAACGTTCTCGTTCTTCTACACCGGGCACATCACGTTCTGGGGGTGAAGGCACATTATATTTCTCATCACCCAGATTATGACCGTCTGAGTCAAGTTTCGGTGGGGGGTAGCCTGGTTTCTGTTCGTAGAATTTCTTGATTTGATTCTGATCCACTTTATTATAATCTCGCTGTTGAACACGTCCATATTTATCATACACAAACTCTGATTTTAATCCAGGATCACTTCCAGCACGTGATTTCCCATCCTCACGTCTCTCAGCGTTCGGGCTGTTCCTCTCAGGCAAGGGACGTAATCCTGGGGTATAGGCTAATTTCGCTTTATTCACAGGAAAATCTTTATTAGTGTTTGTATTTGTATCAGTCCACGATTGCGCTCGCGTGTTGATTGGTTGAGGTGGTTCGGCTCCTCCGTTAGATTTGGTTACCGGCCACGAAGGGTATTTCTCGTGAGTCTGGTTGATCTTGATGTATTTTAAACTGGAGGGGTCACGTACCGGAGGAATTGGAGGTGACTGGGGTGAAACTAATGACTCAAGTTGTGTGGTCTGTGGTATATGAATATTTGAAACATCTTCATCTGAATCAAGGTCATCTATTTCTGAAATTTTTTCACTTCGAAGCGGCGTTGTTCCGTAATCAGAAATATTCTCATAGTCTGCCTGGTATTTCTGTAACATGTAAGGAGGAAGAGACCTTCGCGTATTTTTCTTCGATTTACCCTCCTTTTCATAAGAGTCAGTTATATCATTCATCCTAGCTGATGGTTGGTCAACATAAGATCGTTTAAAATCCCCGCTACCTAAATTCCATGAAGCGTTGATTCCAGTTGGTCCATCGAGAGAATAACGTTCGTAATTGTTGTTATAACATTCCCCATGTTTCCGATTCACATGTCCGTACCCTTCACTTTCATGTTCATTGTTTAGATTTGGACTCGACTTCGCCCCACTAAGTGCTTTCACTTGATTTTCCGTAGGCACTTGAATTTCTATTTTATTTAAACTTGGAGAAGATTTCGCTGGCGCAAGTTTCCGTAGTGAAGCATTTAGAGGATTTTTGTAAGAAGGTTGCTGATTTTCATAAAATCTCGGACCGCTTTCCTTGCTAGTTGTCTGCCATTGTTGTTCTTGATCGCTACGGTTACGTGATGTTTTCTTTACACTGAAAAGAGAAAGGAGAAAAACATATAAATATGCAGTCAAATTTCAAAATTAATCAAAAAGAGTTTGTACAGCATTTCTGAAATTGAAAATTGCAGATAAAAATATTGGCAAATTTCTCAAAATAAACAGACAAAAAACTGACTGATTTTGATGAAACAAATGACTGAGTTAAATTAAAACCCAACTATAAACATCTAAAAGAAAATATTTTCTAAAAAAAAACCTCCTAAAGAAAAACTGAAATTCTAATCCAATTTTACAGAAATGAACCATTAGTTTTAATTTTGTTTAAAGTGCTGACATTAAATCTGAACAAAAAACTAACTGTTTCAACATCTTAACAGACTAAAAAATCTTGACACAAAACTTAAAATGGCAGACAATACTTTGGTCTTATCTGGGAAAAAACTAGAAACGCTGGGATAATAAATTTACTTTTCTTAAATTGTGATAACCTTTGCCAGAAAAACTAACCACGTTAGATTTGGAATGAGTTGTGAAAACTTTAAACTTCTTTCTGTTGTGTGTTTATGTATTAACAGCCTGTTTTATTGGTTATTTCTTGTCAAGACAAAAATAGATACGATATTTAGTCATTTATCACTAAAAAACACACGTTGACAAACCCAGATGCACAGTGACTCATTGAGCCATCCTACGATAAAAAACAGACCTAAGTTAGACGAGAATATCACTAACATAAACATCCTCATATAATCCCTGATCCCTTTATAATCCCTCTTTAATCCTAATCTAGTAGGGCGGTAGTATAATCCTGTTACACCAATTGTTATCCAGGGCTGATACGATACTGTACAACTTACAATGTAGAACAAGGACAGACTGTGTAGGTGTCTTATCCTGATTATATTTAGGCGCTAATAATAAAAAATGAAAAATCTATTCTACTTTCACTTAGTAAATTGCGTTACATGTATCAAATATCATAAGTCAAAAGTACAATTTCACTGATTTCAGTTAAAATAAACAAATAAAAATTACAGGTTTTAAAAATTTGTTTACTTATCGTATTGAAAAATATAAATAAATTCATTCGAAAGAAAGTTAAGTCTTGACCATAGTTTAGTTTCTTTAAAACTTTAAAATTGCAGAATTTGTTTGAAGAATAATAGTTGTATATATTATACTAGAAAGAGAATATATTAATGAGGGTTCAAAAATGTATATATAAAATATTACAAAGTATTTAATTTTCAACAGATGTATATCTTACACCAAAATTAGTCAAATTTTGAACAATCCACCTGTGACAATCATTACCAATCCGCACAAGACAATAAAAACCAAGTGTTTTAGGCAGTGCTCTATTAAAAGAGGTTTATTTGGTATATTATACTAGAATGATAATAAATCAATAAGAGTTAAATATGGTAATGATCAAAGAAAAGGGAAGAATGGCAGTGTGTCAGGTTGTCATGGTAATTAGAATAACAAATGATTTGATACATTCTAGTCTTTGTTATTTCTCTGTTACACCTGGCTCTACCTGGTCTTTATCAAATTATAAATATTCATCTCACTATTACCTATTTCTCTTTGTCTATTTTAGAATATTTAGTAATTTTATAGTTTTAGTAAGTTAGAGTAGATATTGTCTGAACAAAGTAAAATGTTTTTTTAATTTTGTTCATTATTTTTACGAGAATTTGAATATCACCGTCAAAATAGTACTGTTAGTCTTAAAACCTCTTTGCATTAATAAAAATATAATCATCAGCCACATATGTCTTAAAAATTTGTTTTAACAGGGGACAATTTTTAGCTATTATTTTTTGACTTTCTGGGGTTAAAATTAACAGTACTATTTTGAGGGTGATATTCAAATTCTGTTTAAAAAATATAGAAAAAATTCAAAAAATATTTTGCTTTGATCAAACAATAAATCCCTTTAAGAAAATGTCCTACATTCACACGAAGTTACAACATCGAATTCAGAGTACCTTTAAGGCGTAAAAAATCCACACAAAATCAGTTATATCCATGTTAATTCAGAAAATCCAAAACAAAACTGAGAAACTTTCAATGATTTGACTCACATCTAAAAAAAATCATGTCCACTAGTAAATTGAAAGTAGTAAAGTGAAAGTAGTAAATCCATTGTTTATCAAGGTGTGTTCACCTCACCTGATTACATTGAACTGAATTTGGATTAATAACAAAGTTCGACGACTGCTAACCTAGTGATTGTTACTATATATAGAATGACGTCTGTTCATGTTCGATCAAGTGGTAATAGTTGCTAAAGAAAAGAAATATTTTGTATTCAGTTTAAATGTTTTCAGAGATAAAATTAAGTGAGATGATTTCAACTTTATAAAAAGATCAACTTAATAAAAAGAATTTGAACCTAACAATTTGGGTGTCGTTTTTATTGCTATTAAATATACTTATAAATACATAGTAAACTTTTCAAAATATTTTCTAAAGAAATAGAAATATAGGCCCGCAGTTATAAGTAAGTATGTAATTGCCATTTTGAAATCCTTTTTTTAACTTATGACCTCTATATTAATATTCAAACCAGACATCTGCTTGATAATAAGGAGCCACAGGTTAGAATCTTCTGATAGGGACACATTCCCCATCGGTTTAACTAGGTCTGAGAAACTAAGCTAAGCTAATTATAGAGATGACAGTTCAACATCGAAATTTGACCCTTAAATCCATGTGTGTCTAGAATTATCTGCGTTTAAAATTACGACTTGTCTTTTCTTAAGATTATGCCTTATATAGAAAAAACATATCAAAAAAGTGAAATTTCTAGTTTTGAAGTACATTTGAAGAAATTATGCAATTTTCGTACTGTTCTGGTAATTCTGAAGACTATTTAGATATATTCAAAACCAACTCCCCAAAATGGCGTAACATGGCCTTTAAGATTCATTTTGTCCTCTACCAAACCTCTCAAACGAAAGATTTTAGCACAAATGACAATTAATTTTCCATCTATAATATCAAGTTATGCAGTTAGCCAAAAAATTATAAAAGTCCAGCTTATCTGAATTATAATCCAGTCAAATATTGAAACAGCGTTAAACTGTTCTATTTTTTACCTGGATTAAATTACATGCCCTTTAATTACAGGTATGTTTATTTTCTCGCTTGACCTCAAGCCATGACCTTAATTGACTTTTTGACCTGTAATATTAGGAGGATGACAGGTAAATCTAATTATTGACATGTACGTCCAGTATTTCAATATCAACAGCTATTCTATTTAGACTGGAACGTCAGGTATGTAACACTGTAATGATACAAGTTAAGATCAGAATGACAGGGGTTAATGTAATATTGAATGAAATTGCTGGGGTAGGGTAAATTGATATATGCAATCAAATTTTATATCAAAATACAGATGGCTTGATTGCCAAAGTCAGCAAAATAAAATATTGATTTTTATAGACATAGCAAACAATGTCTTATCTTAGCTTCATTTTGTAAGGTTTTGTTAGTAAGACAGTGCATGACCATTCTTTTTCAAACTTCGGAATGAGGTCACTAATATGCTTTATCACATAAGGCCCTTTCGGAATAAGTGACATCATTAAACACTTAGTTTTAGTGGAATTGCAGGAACAACAGACATCTTATTGGGAATTGGAATGGTGCAAATTGATGCTATCAGTGTCCTTGATACACATGAAAAATTAGAGAACCTCTTCAAAATTGCTTTAAGTTTTTTTTATTTTAATTGACATGTTTTGTTCTAGTTATAAAGTACAATAGAATAGACAGATATCCCATAGTTTATTGTAGAAATAGTTGGACTCCCTCCAGACGGACATTCCTCGTAAATCTTCAGGGGGATAACTCTAGATAAACAGTATTTAAGAAAATATTCTAAGTATTTGTCAGTGATATCCTGAACGAGAGAATTTGACAAGTCGCCCACCCTGACAGATAATGATATAAAGACTAGTATAATATCCAGGTTAATAGATTTGTAGTCTGAAACATTTGCCTCTATTCCAGCCTGTGATAGCTAATTTGACAGTTAGCGGTTGGATTAGAGTCAGAAAAACTAGGCCCTGTTTTATGGGGATTTTCCACACCTCTGAAGATGTGCTTTTTCTAACATAATATTAAGTTACCTTTACGATGAATAAATTAGTGTTGGGCATCGCTGGAGGTGTGGAAAATCCCCACACAACAGGGCCTAGAGACAGACAGAGTAGATTTCAATTTGCCAGGACATCAAATTGATGGATATAATTAAGCCTAGATTTAGAGATATAAAATTATATCGATCCTCCCATAACACTGTCTTAGATTTCGAAATATGTAGGGAGGTATCCTTGTTCATGAGGTAATACCTTAAAGTTACGTGCCATTTCCAAATTCATCCAGAAGATTGTATATCCAAAACATCTCTGAGAGTATGAAATGAGCTCTAGTCCAAAATTAGGCAATGGAGCATCAATCACCACATATAGTGCTTCCAACTCTGTAAATCACAAACCAGCAAGTAAATTAAAATAACAAGCCTTGGATAACATCTGAGACTATATTAAACTCTCATTGATTGGTCAACAGCAAGTGACAACAACGTCCAAAATATTTCTAGAATGACACAAACAAACAGTCGACTTAATTCTCATGTCAATATAGAGTAATCTCCCTTGTTTTTATTCTCACCTATTGTTTGTTTACCTGTTAACGAGATTTTACCTATCCAGGTAGATTGCTTAATTAGATCTAGGTTTTTTTGGCATGTGGGATAGAGGGGCTTAGAGCTGATACAGGTACCAGCACTGGGTCTAATATCATAAATGTGGCCATATTGAGGTCATAGTAGGCTTATTGTGTAATATCCAAACTATTAAAATTCCGAATTTCAACTTCCAATTCTACTTGGTATTTCATAAGTTAGTCAGACATGACTGGTCAATAAAATGAAAATCAACATCTCTGCTTTGTGTCCATTTCAACTGAAGCAGATGTCAATCCAATCTGTAAGTTTTATAAATCGCCAGAATG